GATTGCCCCCCATTAGTCATAAAACCATTAGTTAGACCTCCCGAACCCCCCCCCCTTTACCCCCCTACTTAGGGGGTTGGAGGGGGTTGGGTAGGGGGTTTTGGGGGTTGGGTAGGGGGTAATGGGGGTTGGACAGGGGGGTTTTGGGGGGTTGGAGGGGGGTTGGGAGGGGGGTGTTGGGGGGTTTTTTGGGGGGTTTTGGGGGGCTTTTTGGGGGGTTCGATACATAAACTATAAGTTAACTACACTTATTATACTTCTGTTTTTGCTTACTATTAGCTGTAGCGAGTATTGAACAACCATTACGGCACGAAAAAAGTGGGAAACTGGTTAGTTTTGTCGGTTTTGCTTGCTGCCAATGGATAACAATTGATTAAACGATTTTTTTTGTTGGTTTCTACCACGAAATCTATTTAAAAAGTGTAAACTAGCTTTCCTATATAAAATACCTGCGATTTGACAACTTTTTAGACACCAAATCTTCCTGAAAGCAAACTTTTTGACAGAATTTTCATTTCCACGCGCAAGGCTGGCAAAACGCTGCAATTTTGGGCAAAACGGTTTCCCAATGAGTTATTTGTGTACGGCATAGCATTACAAACAATTAATGGTGTCATTCCGAAAATAAAAACAAGCCATAATCTCAAATAAAGCAAATCAAGCAATTCACCGTGTAAAAATCCGGCTCGTAGTGTTTTAAAAAAGAGTTCGACAAAAAATTGACTGTCCTCTAGGCTTGTCACACACCCCAGAACCGAATACCCAAAAAGCAAAAAGTTTTCCCGGGGCCGGGAATCGAACCCCCGACCCTCTGCTTAATACACTATAGGGGGGTTGGGAGGGGGGTTTTGGGGGGCTGGGTGGGGGGTGTTGGGGGGTTGGGAGGGGGGTTGGGTAGGGGGGTTTTGGGGGGTTGGAGGGGGGTTGGGAGGGGGGTTTTTTGGGGGGTAAATGGGGGTTAAAGGGGGTATATGGGGGGGGGTTCGGGAGGTCTACCATTAGTCATAAACGCATTAGTCATAAACCCATTAGTCATAAATTCCATTAGTCATAAACCCATTAGTCATAAATTCCATTAGTCATAAATCCATTAGTCATAAATTCCGTTAGTCATAAATCCATTAGTCATAAATTCCATTAGTCATAAACTCATTAGTCATAAATTCCATTAGTCATAAATTCAATGGTCATAAATTCCAACAGTCATAAATGTTATGAAACTGATTGCTTGGAAATGTTATTCTCTAACATAATCCCGTTAACAAATCCAAAATTAATAGGTTTAATGATATCCGATCAGGTGCAATTGATTCGAGAACACGACAAGGACCATCACATACACCTGAAGACCTTTAACCTCAAACCTCGAAACTCAAAACTCAAAACTCAACACTCAAACCTCAAAATCTACGATTAATAAAATTTATGACTATTGAATTTATGACTAATGGAATTTATGACTAATGAGTTTATGACTAATGGAATTTATGACTAATGGGTTTATGACTAATGGAATTTATGACTAATGGATTTATGACTAATGGAATTTATGACTAATGGGTTTATGACTAATGGATTTATGACTAATGGAATTTATGACTAATGGGTTTATGACTAATGGAATTTATGACTAATGGGTTTATGACTAATGGTTTTATGACTAATGGGGTTATGACTAATGGTTTTATGACTAATGGGTTTATGACTAATGGATTTATGACTAATGGGTTTATGACTAATGGAATTTATGACTAATGGATTTATGACTAATGGAATTTATGACTAATGGGTTTATGACTAATGGATTTATGACTAATGGAATTTATGACTAATGGGTTTATGACTAATGGATTTATGACTAATGGAATTTATGACTAATGGGTTTATGACTAATGGAATTTATGACTAATGAGTTTATGACTAATGGTTTTATGACTAATGGGGTTATGACTAATGGTTTTATGACTAATGGATTTCGCCCCTAAAATAATAGTCAATACCAGGGTTGAAAAGCCGCTTCGCGACTTTTCAACCCTGGCCCCGTCTCGGACCCCATACTATTATGCCCTTTGCATAATTGTCCTTCATTCAGAAGACAAAAAAATGAAAAGAACCCTTTCTGCCTCTTTATATAGGCGACCACCCACTTCCGGTCTATGCTAATTATCCCTAACAAAGAGGTTTTTACAAAAATCGAAATTTAATAGCGAAAATGGCTAATTTTTAAAAATCTGATATATGTGCAGTCATCCCTAGACCATTACGCACCTAATGACGTATCATACGTAGCCCAATACCGGTCACTTCTTGAGATATCCTCCGGACAGACAGACGGAAATGGATGCAAAGTGGCACACACACAGACACTATTTTTTTATATATAGTAGGATAACTTTTAGATTCTCGTTACCTTTCGCAAAGCTTGTTCCCTCATCTTGACGATCGAATTCAGCAAGTCTTCCATGTGGCAGCACTCGCATGCCAGCAAATGACGAAGTTCAGGGTAGGCTAAACGGATTTTTACGAAAAATTAAATCAATCAACCTCGAATATTGCGATAGATTTGCTCATTAGGCCTGAATCCGCATAACAACTCGAAATCGGTGACAGCGATCGCCATCTCGGGCTTGTGGTTGGCATCCGGGTAGTTTTTCGGGTCCATGGCGTGGAGCTGGTTTGCTTGGTCCTAAAAGGAAATATTCAGCGAATCCATTTCGTTTCGGTACCTTTGTAGGGTGGGTCTGAATCGAAAGAGCCCGACGGACGGAGAGCACTTTGAAGAGGAATTGAAGCGTTCCTATAACGACTCAATTCTCGCCTTGGCCCGTAAAAGTACCAGCTTCATGATCACCGAGCGCACCATCTTTTTTGATCAGCTTCTCCAGCGAAATGCCATCTTCCGCAGCGACGGAGAGCCCGTTGGGGTGAACGCCCATCCAGAGCTGAAAATTCGCGCAATGGCGCCTGCTTATAATCACTACCTCTGCATAAGGTTTTGAAGAATCGACAGCCTCAGCGTGCCCACCGCTCTTCAGAAGCTGCCCGACGCGACTTTCAAGCCCAAGTCGGCCCCAATCGTAGTTTTGCGGGACGCAGCGAAGTCTGATCATTTCGCTAAAAAAAATGAAATAATATGCTTGACTTTGACTCATGAATTTATAGTCGAAAAAGATTGTGCGCTCCTCTATGCATTACATGGCAGATCCTGTTGACCAAGTCATAGCTCTTTATTATAGGAAAAGTACACATAATTCGCCCATCGACGCAATTGCAACTGAACTACGGCAATCGCTAAAACATACACAACAAAGACACGCCGAGTTAAACTATAGCGTAAGGAGCAGCAAAAATTAGGGTGAGTCTAAAAGGAAAGCTGAATTTACGCATGGCGCACACGAAAGTTTCCGCGGTTGGAATCACAGGTGTTTGCACACATATTTGCCCGTATTACGAAATGGGGTGCCGCAAATGACGGGGTGTGAGAAGGAGGGACGTGGGGAAGTAGGTTCTGGACACCAACAGAGAGTTGACGGGGGTTGGGTGAGTCATCCCAGTCAGGAGCCACTCGAAAGGGAAATCAAGAATCGTACAATAGGCGGAAGGGGAGGGTGATATGTTGTTGTTTGAGTTATCCAGCCACGCCGGGAGACTCGCTGATGAAGAACGTGGACAGGGCGAAGATCAAGAAGACCACTCCTCCGACGAGCGTCACTGAATTATCGTTTTCGGGGCAGCTTCTTGGGTTTTCGTAAAATTCGTTGAAGGGATGCGTCTCGCTTTTTGCGCAGTCTTCAACAAATAAGCCTTTCGAAAGGTCTAGTTCTCCGAAACGCTCCCGGTTCCCAAAATAAATGCAAATCCTGCGAAAACACACCTGTTCGAACCGATATCCTCTGCGCGACCAGCTTGCCACCCATAACCGCGATCCCGGTGCAAATTGCGTGCCCGAGAACGCCGCCAATAATCACGCCGGGAATGTTTTCCCTACACAACAGTCCGGTTAGTCGTTATAAAACGAACCTGGCCGCCAGGATAATCGTCGTCAACTGCGAGCGGTCGCCCCACTCGGCGAGGAACGTCAGCGTAAAGGCCTCGAAAAAGATGCGCGAGACGAAGGCAAAGATCAAGGCGGCGGAACTAAATACAAAAAACTTAATAATTCCAAAAATCTCATACTTCTTATCCTGCGCTGCACCGCCTTCCAAATTGTCAATTTTGCCCGTATCCATGGCGAGCTCGCGCTTTTGGACCTAAATGATTAGATTTTTTCAAGAGATTGGCTTACCTCGGCTTGTGATTCTTCAAAAACTTCTTGGGTTTCCGAAGCATTCATGTAATAGCCTTCGTGTAGCATCTAAACGGATTAGGATTTGGGACTGGAAATTCCACCCAACCTTTAATCCGAAGAGAGCGAAAAGCGCGGTAGAAATGTAGTAGGTGATCCACCGGGGTATCAACACGGTCACCCATCCCATACACGCTAAAAATGATTAAAATTATTTGAGAACAAGGTTACCAGAAAGCACGGTCATCAAAGCGAGGGCCGCAATGGCACCACTGAAGACGGCGAGTCGGGAATGTTTCATAGACATAATCACAGCGATAAACCATGTCTAAAATACGAAATAAACATTTATAACGTGATAGCGATACCTTGTCGCCCAGCTCGCTGACGATGATCACAGAAAATGAGGCGAAGAACCCGTGGTAGAACGAAAGATCAGCCTAAAAATCATTTTTTTTCAGCCAAAGTATCGAAAAGCTGTACCTTTTCTGAATCGCTGGAGCTGCTTTCAAATGTTGGTGCCGCCATTTGTTGGGGAGCATCATCGGCGTTTTCCTGGAAATACAAAATTGATTTAGAGCAAGATAAACCTACTTTTATCTGTCCTTCCGGGGGCTTCACATCGAGTGGTTCATCAGCGAAAACATATGCGCAGAAGAAGAGTAGGAGAATTGCCCAAGCGCGCATGTCGGTCGCTGGAATTTAAAATTAAATAAAAATGAACGGTTTTAATCCCAACGAATTAAAAGGTAAGCTTATAATCGTGCATTAAAAACTGATAAGTTATAAGAAGGAGCTTTTAGACAAGAGCTATTCGAAGATCACCGTCTTTTCAACGTTTTCTTCAACGTGGAAGCAAAAGAAACGAAATGAGCCATAGTCATAACAAGTCAAAAAAGCCTTTGAGTTTTTAATAAAATGATAGATATTTTAAGTGGCTACGAAACACGCCTTTTCGCCGAAGGATTTCAACGTCTTTTCCATATTTTTTAGAAGCGATAGAAAAAATGAGCCTTCATGTTATTAGTTGAAATTTCAATTCGATAAAAATAAAAGTTTACTAATCTTAGCGGCTGAAAAATAAGCTCATAACGGTGTAATAAAAAAGTTCTAATGAATCAACGATACTTTAAAAACAGAGCTATTAAATGCCAACATTTTTCCTACAGTTTTTCAAAGCGGAAGCAAAAAACGGCCGGCTGCCAAATTGCGTGGCCAAACGAGATCGAAATTTTTACGTGGCGCCGGCAATCCGGGGTGGTCAGCTATAGCGCGCCCCTCTGCATGTATGACCGTAAGGTGCCGCCGAGGTGGACGAACACAAAACCCGGACAGCACACACCAAAAAGCATAGGGTCGGCGAGGGTTGCCGCCGGATGTTCACGATGGCAAAAAGGAAATTGTGATCCCTACATGGAGACACATCCTGGGTGGGTAAAGGTCACGCGGTGATGATCTGCCTTGGGAAAGGTAGTCTGCCGAACATGTGGGCGGGAAATGGCGTTGAAATGGCAATAAATCAAAAGTGAAACTTGTTTGATAAATTGGAGCTTAGGGTGTACGTGTACCACAATGAAGGTTTGTAATAGGTACACACACTTTGGAGCAATAAGTAAAAATTTAAGCAAATGCACCGAATTCCTGAGAAAGAGTTAAAATCAAATCAAATCCAGAACCTTCTCTTCACCTAGCCGTCCAACCATGAACGAAAGACGGATCTGAGAACATTTAGCCATTTTTTTTTGATATAACAAACAGCCAATGATACCGGAAATTCCTGACTTTTTAGTCAAAAATCCATCACAAAATAATCACAAAATACTAACAAATGGTCTAATTTTTGTGTATCACTAATGCTTTTTTAGGCAGCATACTGTATAACTTCTAAAAACCGTGAAAATACGCTACATATTATTAGGCAGGGATAGGCTAGAAAAGTAAAGCCGGCTATCATCTTTCGTTCATTGGAAATAATAATTACCAGGGTTGAAAAGCCGCTTCGCGACTTTTCAACCCTGGCCCCCCTCTGACCCCCTCTTTATCCTTCACTTTGCATAATTGTCCTAAATTGGGCAAAAAAAAATGAAAAACGCCCTCTTCGGCCCCTTTATATAGTCGACTCCCCACTTCTGGCCTATGCTAATTATTCCTAACAAAGAGGTTTTCACAAAAACTTAAATTTAATGTCGAAAACACCTGATTTTGTAAAATCTGATATGTGTGCAGTCATCTCAAGACCGTTGCGCACCTAATGACGTATCACACATACCTTAAAATTCATCCCCCATCGAGATATCCTCCGGACAGACACACGGAAGTGGATGCAAAGTGGCACACACACACACACAAACACTATTTTTTTATATATAGTAGGATTTTTGTTTATATGGTGGTTCACATTCGATTACCAGCTTTTCAAACCTTTTATCTACTATATAACAAACGAAATATCTATAAGTGGAACCATAGTGCAGTAAATCATCCAGCCCGCAAGCATACCAATTAGGTTTACCTAGGGGCTAGGCCCCGTTCCTGCAGATCCTGAATATCTGCTTAGTATACTGGTATTAGCTATGCTATCTAGACTGGAAATCCTCGAAAAACTACGTAATATCCAAGTAACAACGTTCAGAAAAGCGTATTCGTCGCTTTTAGAAACAATTTAAAGAGTATGCGGCGACTTGTTCGATCCACGGCATTCATCAGGTCGTGAAATCGGAGAATTCTCTGCCAAGAAAACTGGCTTGGGCTTTGATACTTATTGTAAGCATCATACTAAGTTGAAATCGCACTTCAAAATATTAATTTTCGAGCTGCTTCGCCTTTCTGTGCTGGAATTTGCAAGTTTTGGCGCAACGTTATACTTCGTTTGCCAAGCAGACAAGTATTACTGTAAGTTCTACTGCCTTTAAACGTATATTTGTTGTGTTGCTGTAAAATCCATATTTTTAGTTAAATTTCGGGAATCTCATTTTCCCGGCCGTTACGATATGCTCGATAAATCCAATGTTAAATTCCGTCACGATGGACGATCCGCAGATAAAGCAAATTGTATATAATGATATGCGTTGCTATTAAAAATATTTTTGTTATTAAGTTATGAAAAATAGTAATTATTTTAAATTATTATTTAAAAATCAATGTATATTTTCGATTTATCCATATTTAGATGTCCTCTTACTACGTTTCAACGGGTACAATCGATAATCCAAGGCTAGCCGAACAGGCCAGGATACTTTACGGGCTATCGGTAAGTACGGTAGTCTACAAAGTACACTCTGACTAGGGCGAGGACGATGCAATGGAGCAGCAGTCTCGGCTGGAGTGGCTGATCTCCTATTATATGGCGATGAGCAGAGAGGGCGGACATTTTGAAGAGGTACAAGCCATCCAAGTTCCCAACGAAAAGCCACGATTTAGAAAGCCATTTCCTTCGCCAGTTTGGTCAAGAATTGCGCGTATAATGCAGCTACGTGTACACAGGAGTGAGTCGTAGTTATAGTAGCGTGCTGGAAAATCCATTTTTTTGAGAAAAGTTGTCGTCTTTTAGGAATTTCACCAGTGTTTTCCACCCCAGCTACGGGCTTTGCTACGTTTTCAACTTTCACGGGGAAGCCTCGAAGGTGACGAGGTCGGGCCCGAACTACGGTACACACCAAATGACGCTGTAAAACCAAAGTATATATTTAGGCTTGAAAATGCTGCTTTATACGAATATTTCGGAATATATTGAGGCGACCACATCGATTGGGTGCCGGATCGCGATTCATGATCAAGTAGGGCCAAATTTTGAAAAGGGTACTTTGTGCCTTGATTAAACTTGGTTAATTCCTCTAGAAACCTGGTTAATAAATTACTTTCAGGACGCCTATCCATTTCCGGACACCTTTGCCTACAGTATCCAGCCGGGGAGTGCGATTGCGTTGAGCATGAGGGCTGTGAGTGTTTATAGAATTAAACCGTTTTTCGTTTCGAGACCCACTTATTACTTTTGAGATCACGTTTTCCTCGGAATTAGGTATCTAGACGTTTAATGTATGATTTTGTTCAGAATCGCAACGAACGTCTGAATGCCGGGGAGACAAAATGCCAGGACGATTCGGAAAGGGAATACCTCTACGATGGTAGTTATACCATGGAGGTCGGTACCAGCTTTTTTAAGGCTAGTTTTTTGTTTTAGGTGTATTTGTATGGTACAAAAATTTAAACTGAACAGTTTATGAACTAAAGTGTCCGTTGGCAGCTAATTTTTATAGCATCGTGTTCCCCGTATTTTATTCGATTATTTTTCCACCAATTTTGAGCCGATTTGAAGTCTGTGACCACACAACCCCGACATGAAATTGAAGGCCGACAACGCGGTTTATCTCGCAAATTGGTGTAATCTCAAGCACTTTATTACTATGCTAGCCCTTCTCCGAATTAAGGCAAATCATGAGAAGATCTCCTCGTTGGTGGGATAATCACATCAAGCGTAGGGCGGCTGGTCGGAAAGTGTAGACGATCCCTTGGGCGTTTTTCCGGAACCGGTGCCTGGGTAGTGATTTTGCTGGGCAATAGGTGGCAAATCTCATCGGTGCAACATCTGCGGATTTGTCCCTTGTCGTTGGTGGTCTGGCCTTCTTCCTAAAACGTGTGTTTTTTGATTTTTGAATTGTTTCCTACGTCACACGGGTCGAACTTGAACTTCGTCTGCTTGTCTAGAAGGGACTGAACGCCGCAGCCACATCCGGTGTGCGTATTGCCGCCACTAAAAATGGACTTGGCTTCAGGTCAAAACCTGGCGCATTAATGGTATATTTTTATGACGATAACCCCAAGGTATACAATAATGCCAATGATTCGATTACGTCGGGTAATCTAATTCCGCAGCTAACAGATAACGGACACACAGAAAGACAGAAGATCGAATAGACCGACTGAAATACAAGCGACATCAAGACATACAGACACACAAACAGCGAGAGAGAGAGAGAGACAGACAGAGAGACAGCCAGACAAACAGACAGAAGATCGAATAGACCGACTGACGTACAACCGACATCAAGACATACAGACACACAAACAGCGAAAGAGACAGACAGACAGAGAGACAGACAGACAAACAGACAGAAGATCGAATAGACCGACTGACGTACAACCGACATCAAGACATACAGACATACAAACAGCGTGAGAGACAGACAGACAGAGAGACAGACAGACAAACAGACAGAAGATCGAATAGACCGACTGACGTACAACCGACATCAAGACATACAGACACACAAACAGCGAGAGAGACAGACAGACAGAGAGACAGACAGACTAACAGACAGAAGATCGAATAGACCGACTGACGTACAACCGACATCAAGACATACATACACACAAACAGCGAGAGAGACAGACAGACACAAACAGACAGATAGACATCCTGAAATTGAAAACCAGGGAAAAAGACACGGTATGCCGAGCTGCTAACGCACAAAACGACGTGCAGATGAACGGCTAGATAGAGCGTGACGCAGAGATTGGAATCCGGATCGCCACGGAAATGAATGGCAGTCCGACAGAAATTGAAATGGGCACAAAATAGGGAGCAGAACAGCCAGAGCTTTTAAATCCACAAATAGGAAATGTTTGCAATATTTTTTGTTTTATTGGCAAACAAATATAAACCCAAATTAAACTATAACTTACGCGCTTAGCGTCTGGCAAAACATGCAATCCGAGCAATCGAGCACAGCGTTCTAAAGTATTTTTTAAAAAACTTTTTGTATAATTTAAGCTACCCCTTCAGTGGTGTCCCGGCAGTTGATAGCCCATGTAAATTGAACGATTGAACTAATTAAAAGGATCGATGGTAGTAGCTTCATTTTTCGTAAGATGAGTCAAAGGCAGCGGTCGATTTTCCCTTTATATCACTTCACCGGGGCGACCCTGAGCCCTCGCGAAAAGAGGAAAACACGGAGCAGCTGCTGGGGATTTATGAGGGTGCGATTTTTGGGATAACAAAACAAAAACTCAAGAGACCTAAACAAATACATAACGGAAAGATCGATAAACTTAATTACAGTACTCAAATTCGCCGTCGTGCATTTCTTTTTTACTCCTAAATCGAGATCAACAATGTAAAAGTCGCGATAGTTGATCCTCAAGCATCTCTGCTAGCTGCCCACTCGCTTTTCCCCCTCGTT